AAGATTGACGCGAGCAAGAACGAGGAGGACGAAGGGTGAGCGCCGGCCCGGGCCCGTGTCGCGGTTCGGGTGTCAGTGCCCGTGTGTGCTGCCGCGCTGCTTGTCACTCCGGTGGCGCTCCTTCTCCAGCGGCTGCCCGAGCCCCCCTTTTCCCGCGCTCTCCAAACTACTTCCTGCGGGGCTCCGCGGTGCCCGGGGCGGGGCTGGGTCCCCCCCTTCCCCCTTGTTTGGAGATGATTTTCTGCCCCCGCCCCCCCCGGATTGGGTTTGCTGCCCGCTTCGTGTGGAGGCGCCTGCCTGAGCTGCATTGAAGGTGGGGAGCTTGGGGCAGCCTGCTTGGACAGGGCGGGGTGGGGGTGGTGTTGGCCTGGCCGGGCTTGTCATGCCAGGCTGTGCCTTAGGGGGACTCTCCCAGGCTGATGGTGATGGGGGGTTGTCTAAGTGGCCCTGTGCCAGGTGAGAGAGGGTGAGACTGCCTCGTAAACAATAGCATGTTGCAGGTGGCAGCCGCTCTTTTCCCAGTGTGTTTTGGGGGGAGCCCTGCTAGGTTGGGGGGAAGGCCTGGGTTGTCTGGGCCTCACTTAGTTGCTGTTCCTGCAGTGGTGGGAAGAACCCGTTGTAGAGGGGACCTCTGGGGTGGGGCTAGTCTCCAGCTGACAGCCTGGGACCAGTGTGCCCTAGGTCAGGACCTGGACCCCAGGGGAGCCTGCTTAGTGGCTGGGCTGGACTCCAGATTGCTGGCATCCCTTTATTTTTCAATTCCATGTCGTGGTGTTAATGTAGCTTGCTGTCAGGTGGACTTAAGTGTGCCAGCAACTGCTTCTGGTCCTCTTGTCAGGAAAGTTCTCTGCTCAGCTTGCTACTACTTCAAAGCCTGGTTTTTATACCGCTTGTTAGGATTCTTTTTATTGTTAAAGGGGATCTGCTCCAAAAGGGCTGGGTTCTTTTAAAGCTTTATTGTTGCGTGTAACAGTAGTAAGGTTTCAGGAACTTCAACCAGAAAATAACACCAACAGCAAAATCCCTGATTCTCTTCCTTCTCAGGATGAAATGGCTCTTTGCAGTTTTGCTTTTGTGTTAACTGTTTTATTTTTGTTAAGCTTAATGCTACTGCACTCTTTTCATTTGCTTCTGCTTTACCTTGTTGACCAAAACAAGAATTTACTATTTGTTAGCCCTGCTGACAACCCAGCCAAAACCATGTGATGGAATCTTTCCTCTCCTGTCTAAACAGAGTTGCTCACAAGTTCTCTTTGCAGTATCCTACTGGTGGGTTATGGTGCACGAGTCTGAACGCACCTTGTTTACTTTGAGTCCAAATTTATTTTGTGGGGTAATTTGAGCTTTGAACAGGTAATTTGAGCTTTTACCTGTTCTTCTCAGACACGGTTTTTCTGCGTCTTCAAAAGACAGTATATCTAGATCCCCACTAGCTATTCCAAAAAGTTTAGCCTACAGACTTCTAAGTTAAATATCTTTAAAATACTGTTCAAAACTGCCCAAACTTGACATTTTACGTTTTGCTTATATTGAGAATAGGAGATTAGAAATGGGTTAGCAATGCACAAATTAGGAAAAAGAAAATGTGGTTAATGTAGACATACCATTATATTCTGTTTAGATAGGCAGTAACTTACCTGACTTCCAGAGTTTTGACTTCTGGGCTGTTCTTACTTAGTGATGACTGCTCAGCGACTTTGAAAATCTGGCTGCTTCTATTTAGGAGTTTGGAATAGTCAGACAGTGCAGTTTGGAGACTTTAGTGGTTTTGGATAGTCTGACAAGTACAATTTACTGGAGCTGATGTAAGCTCTGGAAACTACAGCAGCTGTTGGTTTTGGAGCTGTATTACTAAGTGTGCTACTATAGTGTGCCCATTTCCAGCAGTAGGAGGTATTATTGAGATGCATCCCTGAGCTCTGAACTTTCATTCTGAGGTGTTGTGCTGTTACTGTTTTAGACTTGCCATGTTACTGTTTTAGACTTGTTCCCTGTAATATTGTGGACTGTTTGCTAGCTTCATTTTATGGTTGCTGTTGGCTCTTAGTTCTGATTTGTTTAGACACTTCAGCATCTGTGCCTTATAGGTAGTGATGGTGACTACACAATGTTAAGTATATTTAAAAAAAAAAAAAAGTAATCCCAATGCATGGTTAAAAATTTTAACTTTGATCAGTTACTTTTATTAGTTCACTAGTTGTCCAAACTCTCCCCTCTTCCTTGTGAGGTGACAAGCCCATGGCAGGAAGAAGGGTTAAATATTTTTAATTCTAAATGATCAAAGCCTTTGATAGTAGGACATTCAGAAGAGCAGAGCGGGGGTGGCATCTGAGTGGTTTAGGCTACTGTCAGCCATAAATCCCCTGAACAATTCTTGATGATTAGTGCTTAAATCTGAATCTGATAGGATTGACTGCAAAACTATAAAATTTGTGTATTGGATACTGCATGTAGGATTAAGCATGTAAATGACAGCATCTCTCTCTTTTTTTTTTTTTTTTTTTTCTTTTATAATCAGTGATTATGTAACTACAGTGTAGGAAGGCTTTTCGGAACACAACATATTATGTTGTTTTTTCCATAAATATAAAGGGAAAGACAAAGTGCCAACTCGGTGTTGCTAAAGGGTATCATGTCATGCTGCGGACTTTCTTTTTTATGTTGGTTTCATTTTTCCAGTTTTGAGTCCAATGAAATTAGGTTCTTTCAAAGTTCATTTTTTATTTTAAATTCCCTTGAAAAAGACATGTCTTAGTGAATTTGTTGTGGAAAAGTTTGTCTTGGATAACTGCTTAACCTAACCATGTCCTGTAAAGTCAGCTCTTAATTTTCTGAAGACATCAGACAATGCTTGGTATGAAGCAAGCTAAAGCTTTGTATATAGATTAAGAATCACGCCACTGACACTTCCTTCATAGCAGTAAAAGCCTAATCAAATTTTTATCACAAGCATGATTTTTACCTGTGGCTAGTAACTTAAATTTAACTTGAATTCATCCCTCGTTTGCCAGTAGGTATGCTATATTTCTTTAAAGTCTCTCCAACTAGCCATTGAAACTAAGTGGTACTAAAGTATCTTTAGGAAAATAAGTGTACATTCTAAAAATACTGAATTTCTTGATCTTTTCAAATTAAGTGCTTACTGGCTTTGTGCTTCTAGTACAGTTGCCAGGACCTTGTTTAACACCTTTTGTACACAGCACATTAAGTCAGGATTCATGGCGGTGGAGTCGTTGATGCTGGCAATCTTCAGTATTGTGAAACGGAAGTTATGTATTTTTCTTTTAAAGCAGTGGTGTTTCATCTTTGAGCCCTACAGGTGTGGGGTTGGTCTGTGGGTGTGATATAGTACACTGGCCCAGCTCCACATGCCAGTGTGATCTGCTACAGCAGACTGCGTCATTTAACTTGGTAGCAAAGGAACAGCAATTAATAGATGTGCACCGATAAAGACTTTTTTTTATAGCCAGTACTGGTAGCTGATTCTTAAGCAACCATATCAGCTGATGTCAGTCCAATAACTAATATTTAGTAATGATGCGAGGCATTTTAAAGTACCGACAATTTTTTTTTTTTTTTGGCTGTGCTTCAGCAGCCTCCTGCATCACTTTATCGGTGGTGTCCTGGCCCTTAAAAATGGCAGTGGGGGTGTTTGAATTAAAGCTCATTGACTGTGCTTTAGTTCAAGAGCTGTTGCCACCATTTTTAAGTGCAGGGATGCTTTGAAGTGGAGCAGAGCCCAGTGGGAGGAGGGTGGATGCAAGCTGCCCACTATGGACTTGGGGGTGGGGGGGGGGGGGGGAATCTCTGTTGTGATGTCTTTTGCCCTGGGAACCCTGTTCCAGCTGCATGGCTCCTGCCTGCCTGGCAGCCAAGTGCACAACTTGCCACCCTCATTGCAGCCAGGTGGTCAGAGGGTGCCTAGCAGCACCCTGCTGTGGGGGGTCTCAATCTTACCACCCCCTTCCCCTCCATAGACTTACTGCAGGGAGCTGTTGTCCAAGCTGCCTGGCTGTGTGCATGCCAGGCAATATGAACATAACTCGCTCTGCACTGCTCGCTCCCAGCAGCTCCAAGTAGGACCCCTTGCAGATGAGAATGCTGCAAGGAGAAACCTGCCAATTTGTGAGGGAACCTAGGCATCCAGGGGCCCTGGCCATGCATGGGAGAGGCAACCCAGGGTGCTGGCCAGAAGGCATAATTATCAATAAACATTATTGGCTACAGCGGCCAAAAAAGCTGATAGCCGATAATGTCACTTCCCTTTTATCGGTGCTGAGCCAATGGGCAACTGATGTGCATGCACCCCTAGCAATTAATGCTGCCACTGCTCTCCTGCCACCAAATTTCTGGGCCTGTAAAAAGAACTGTAGTCCAGATAACATGGTTTGTGGGCTGAATATGGTCCACTGTTCTAAAGGGTCACCAAACAATAATAGCTCGGGGTTTTCAGTTAAATTACAATTTCCTAATCTAAAATGCATTGGAGTGCTAGGTTATGGAGGGAAGACTCAGTGCTTAGAGCAGGGGAGAGGCTCAGTGAATGAAGGTTATTTCAATGTTACAGGTATTACTTGAAAGCCTTCCTGTTCTGCAGTAGTTTGTATATCCTGAAAACAGGGAGCAATATTTAAAACTATAATTTTTTCCTTTAAAAATTTAGCTTAACAATTTGACTTGTGGTTATTTTTCACTTAGTTTGGGATTTTTAATTTAAGTTTTCACTCCTCTATTTCTGCTGATGAATGCCTACTTGGTTAAGGATAACTATCTTGTGGATGAGGTTTTAAAATCATAGAAAATCAGGGTTGGAAGGGACCTCAGGAGGTCATCTAATCTAACCCCCTGCTCAAAGCAGGATCATCCCCAACTAGGTCATCACAGCTAAGGCTTTGTCTAGCTGGGTCTTAAAAGCCTCCAAGGATAGAGATTCCACCACCTCTAAGTAACCCACTGTTTTATCAGCCTCCTAGTGAGAGGTTTTTTTCCCTAATATTCAACCTAAACTTTCTGTGCTGCAACTTGAGACGATTGCTCCTTTTTTTGTTATCTACCATCACTGAAAACAGTCTAGCTCCATCCTCTTTGGAATCACCCTTCAGACATAGTTGAAGGGTGTTATTAATGCCCCCCCCTCCCCCCAACCAGTGTTTTCTTCTCCAGACTAAATAAGCCCAATTCCTTCAGCCTGTCCTCAGTCATGTGCCGCAGCCCCCTAAGCATTTTTGCCCTCTGCTGGACTCTCTAATTTGTCTACATCTCTTCTGTAGTGGGGGACCCAAAGCTGGTCACAGGACTCTAGACGTGGCCTCACCAATGCTGAATGGAGGGGAAATCACTTCCCTCGGTCTCCTTTCAACACTTCTACTAATGCAACCCAGTATGTTGCTAGCATTCTTTGCAACAAGGGCACACTGACTCGTATTCAGTTTATTGTCCACTGTAACCCCCCAGGTCCTCTTCTGCAGAGCTGCTGCTTAGCCAGTTGGTTCCCAGCCTGTACTTGTTCATGGGATTTTTCCATCCTAAGTGCAGGACTTTGCACTTGTCCTTGTTGAACCTCATGAGATTTCTTTTGGTCCAGTCCTCCAATTTGGTTAGTTCTATCTTACCTTTTTTATGCCAGAATTTCAGAGAACTATTTTGAAATGGAGTTTTCCTTGAGTAGGTATGAAGAAGGTTTGTCCAGTAGCTTTAGGAAGATTATAGTCTCAGGGTAATTTTAAATTTGATGCAAAGTATAAAGTAATGCTCCCTTTTTAGAAGCCAGGATATTTGACTTTGGTACCTTTTTCTGAGTACCTTGTGTTGGGTAAGTGACTTGATTTCTGACTCCTAATTTATCTTCATATTTATAATTAGTATAAAAATCAAACCTGGTTGAAGATTCCCACATTAATTTGCAGGATCACTTACTGGAAAAAGGATGGATTTGCAACTTTTTGTTTTTGTATTTTGAGGTGGATGGGGCATGTCCATTGTTTAATCCCAGTACGTGATTTAAAAAGTTATCCTCATTACTCTTCGTATGAGTACTTTAGACTCATTTTCCAATACTTCCTATTCCCCTGGCAAAGCCATGAATTGGTATTTAAACATCAATGTGTAATCTCCTTTGGTGGTTGCCATCTACTCTGAAAAATATTCTGGGTGAAGATGACAGCTTAATTTATCTTTTGTATACCCACGCCTGACACACAAGTTAAATCAAACAGAATTTGGCCTGTAGGAATGTATGAGACAGAAATATTCCTTCTTATTCTTAGATTTTCAGGACTGGCAAAATAAGTTAGTGAGACGCAAACAGGAAATGTGAATTGTCGCCTCTACATTGACTGTTTGGGGTATATCTGTTTGCATGGCATAGTTTCTTGAAATGTACCAAGATGAATAGATAAATATAGAATATTGCTGATAGTGCCTTACAAAGTTCTTCAGTTGAAAAACGAGCTTTTGGTATCTTATTTGTCCTATACTTGGCCAGTTCTAACACTCTTTGTCTTAACAGAAAAATGTTCATTGGAGGCCTTAGCTGGGACACTACAAAGAAAGATCTGAAGGACTACTTCTCGAAATTTGGTGAAGTTGTAGACTGCACTCTGAAGTTAGATCCTATCACAGGACGATCAAGAGGTTTTGGCTTTGTACTGTTTAAAGAATCTGAAAGTGTAGATAAGGTAGAGTTCTAATACAATCAATCCATTAATGTTTAGGCAATATAAAATTTAAGTATTCAAGCTCTTCCATCTATTCAAATTTTTGTCTACAAAAGCTATAGAAAGATACAACTTTGAGATGGGGGGGGGGGGGGGG